ACATATCTTATTTATTATAACCAAGTAACGAGTGCAATTAGTTAGTTCAGTGCTGTTAGTTTCTGTTGCCATGGTAGCATCAGTTATCATTCATTATGTAACAATGTTAATACAGCAGCATTACACGTAATTCATGATGTAACAATGTTGATACAGCAGCATTACACGTAATTCATGATGTAACAATGTTAATACAGCAGCATTACACGCAATTCATGATGTAACAGTGTTAATACAGCAGCATTACACGCAATTCATGATGTAACAATGTTGACACAGTAGTATTACACGTAATTCACGATGTAACAATGTTGATACAGCAGCATCGCACATCATTTATGATGTAGTAATGTTGACATACTACTATGACACGTCTTTTAACTAGACAACATCGAACATGATTTTGGGCAGACATGACATTAATAGTTCCCACACTTGTCATTGATCAACAGTCCAAGGTTTAAGCCGCGTATGCCGCTGAACGCTCTTCATACTTTAAGTTGTGTGTGTGTGGGTGGGGGGGGGGATTATAATTTTCACACTCAACCCCGCTGTTCGATTAAGGGTGGTGAATATTTCTGACTGGTTGCCCTCGCTTTTAGCAGCAGTTGTAAATTAGAGATGGTCGAGTCTTAGTTTTAAATATCTCTGACCTAATCATTTAGCCCAGGTGTCGCTTAAGGTATCATTCAGGCTTAAAATACCACACATTATTCATGATATTGATTTTTATATCCAGTGATCAATTTAAACCGTTTTTAACGCCATAATGGTGATCTTGTAAATTGAAATATTATAATATTTTCCATTATATATATATACACACACACACACATATATCTTTTGATTTATGCTTGGAATTAAATCTCGGCATATTTTTTTTTGCAGTTTTTTTTTTGTTAAACTACTAACGATAAATCGTATTAGGTAATAACGACAAACTATATCGTGGCAGAAATACAAGTTATTAATGTAAATGCTATGGTGTAATAATGCCTAAAATCTAGGTGTTGTGGTGTAATTAGGCCTAATAACATGAAGAAAAATCACGCTGGATTCCTGATGTTCGTTATTATTGTCATTTCAATCCTCTTTATAAATCCTTTACAATTTTTTTTTAAATTCAGAAACATAATAAGAAAAAAAAAACACTTCAGATCTATATTTTGTAAACCACAAGTCATTACCAGGAGGCGCTTCGTTCAGTTTCACAACTCATCCGTTTAGTTACCTTTTACCAACAACTTTACTCTAGCTCACACACACACACGTGGGTATATTGTAATCACTAATATTAATAACTCCAGGTTTATTGTTATCGTGAATTTCGTGTGATATAGAGTATGACTTTGTTCGTGGTTTCACGATAGGTCGTTCACTTTGGTTAGATCTTACTCCAATGCAGCTAACTGGGCATTAACTTTGTTTATCCACAATAAACTATTTGATGCGTTGTGTAAAACTATAGTCGGGCAATAATAGCTTTCTGTTTCCAACGTTTTGTGATTTCTATGTTACTGAAAATAGACTGAATTTATAATGCCTTTGCATGATCATTCCTTAAAGAAAGTTCGGTGCTGTATTATAGTTACAAAAAAAACTTCTTTTTGAATGTGTTCCCGTATGAAGTTACAATAATATATATGTATATACATACTTCACGATGAGTTCAAATTACATTTTCACTGATTGCGTGCATTAGGATGTAAACCTAGCTTGTATATCGGTAAGAATTCTTTAATGCATTTGAAGACATTGTAACCAATGTCGAATTTGGATTTAGAAGCATACGTTGTTTCAAGTCCGGGCCAGGAGCGGTTTAATGGTTAACGAACCCAGACAGTGAACCGAGGGTTCATGGTTCGCAGCCAATTGGTGCCAAAACGCGTCCCCCACTTTGATTTCACGTGTGCACTATAAGAGTGACGCTCAAGTCTCACTATTTGGTCAGAGAAGAGTAGTTCATGAGTTGGCGGCGGATGCTGTTGGTTAGCTGCATTCCCTCTAGTCTATAAGTTCAAAATCAGTGATGGTTGTGAGCAGATAATCGTTCTGTAACTTTGCGCGAAAATTCTGCAAGAAACAAACGAACGAACAATTTAGATACTTTTTAATGCCGAATATCTGAAACATGCTTGATTCTCTATATGCTAATATCTGAAACATGCTTGATTCTCTATATGCTAATATCTGAAACATGCTTGATTCTCTATATGCTAATATCTGAAACATGCTTGATTCT